GTTGTGGATGTGGCAATGGTATTTTGTGGTAGGTACAAATGTACAAAAATTGTATTTTTAATATTCAATGGGCGGATATTGACATTTTTCAAGAACCTCCATCCAGCAGCAGCTTGCAAATAAAGCAAGAAACGCAACTAAATAAAAACAAAAATCAAAATATTTTGACAAGTGTTTTGTTGGCGTTTGAAGATGCCAATTTAACGCATACAACGGCGGAGACTACAAATAATAAAACCCAAAGCATTGAAAAAATTAACAGTGTGGTTTCACAAAACAAACTTAGACGAGGATGGTTGGAAAAGTTGAGGCAATTAAAACAGCTATTTCATCGTTTTAAACTATGGGTCTGGCATACTGAGAATGATTAGGAAAGTTTGCTCAACTCTGGAGGGCTACTCATTTTCTTCGCCAACGAAATCCAAAGAAGCCTCTTGTTTTAGGGATGATCCCTTGAACTTGATTTCAATCAATGATAGCAGCATGGAAACAGTGGAAATTGACATATGATACTTGAATACTATTATTTTTTGTATAATACATGTGAGTGTAAAGGTGTCAATTAAACGCACTCAAAAGAGGTAGTACAAACAACAATAACAGCAAAATCATTGAACAAATTAGCATCAAAATCATCGCAAATGAGTGTGGAATGTTAAGTTGAGAAAACATTTCCACAAAATGTACACAATAGTCCAATGAATTGGTATCCGGAGATTTTGGTGGTCATTGTGAAGCGAGGAACCTCATTTTGTAACCATTCTTGGGTGGCGCATGCTGAGTGCGATGGTGCTGAGTCCTGTTGGCCAAGGTCTGCGGCCAAAAAGTTTGCGTGGCCAAGGCTTTAATACACCTTTCAGAATATTTTCGTTATAATATTCGTCATATATTCTGATGACACGGTCGATTAATATGAACGAAGAGCGACCATCGGCTGTTATGGCGGCCACACCATCACTTTGGCCGGCGCATGAGTTCTGGTGGCCAACCGAAGATGCACATTTTCAGCTGAACCTTTTTGGCAAGTAAACACGATCATTTCGTTTGTTTACAAACTGCAAGACAACGAATGTTTTCTCATCGGAGAAAACCAAATTCGGCTTTTCACCACTTTCGGCCAAGCGAAGCAAGTCTTTAGCTCTTTTGAGTCTATTTTCTTTCTGTTGCGAGCTAATTTTTCAATATTTGCCGAATGGAATATTGCGATATGTTCAGCTCACGAGCCATTTTTTGGCCAACGCGACGCGGGTTTCGATCAAGTAGCTTCTTTACTTTTCGAACCATTTCTGCTGATGTTGCTGTTTTCTTCCGTTCACTTCCTTGACGTCGCGCTACGCTACCAGTATCACGGTAACGAGAGATGGTAGGAGACACAAGAGATTTATTCACATTTAAATACTGGAGTGCTCTAACGATAACCACTTGTGGTTTTCCAGCCAAATACAAAGAAATCACACCATCATGCTTAAATTCCATCACGAATAACTTTTTTTTGGGAAAATTCTGACCAAAATACTTTTGTACGCTTGTAAACAATATAATAAGCTGTCACTGGAATAATTTTAACAGCTGTCGGACGAGTGGCTTAAAAATTATAGCAGTTTTTTCATCTCACCCTGTGTATATGAAAAATACTGTGAAAAATTTGTTCCATCCCAACTTTGGAAAATTTTCATATTTTTTTTGTGAGAGGTTTCATTGTATTTCTATGCTAGTACATAGATATGATATCAGTTAATGCTTTTATTGTTTGAGTTTCAGTAAAATATTGTAATGTGTGAACTTGAATTATATTTTCTATTTTCCAACAGAAGCAACGAATTCCGTTTAGATAGAACCACTTGAGTGGATTTAATTAATGTTGTAAATCATTTGATGAATTATAAATTTTGATTAGATGCAAACATAGATAGGAATTGCGAAGACAGTAAATAATCTACTTAAGACACGCAGAGACCAAAGAATACAGTACTTTTCCCCTCCATGGAGGATTGTAAACTTTCAAAATTCCAATATACATGTCTTCAATTTTTAGCTCTACTTTCATAATCTACTGGGGATTTTCCTATAATTATTGAAAAATTGAATTTTGTCAATACACCCGTTTCGAAAATGTTCCCTTCCTTTGCATTTCGCAAGATATAAAAGCCGAAAAGTGTACTTTTCTGACAAAAAAAAAATAAAATTGTTTAAAATCAAATAATAGATAAATAACGGAAAATGACGAAACACACATATTTTTCCACCGATTGTTTGTAAAGGTGTCTTTTTACAGCGACTCTACTTTATAGCAACGAGCAGCAGCCACGCCATTGACAATGAATATGTTTGCTGTTGCTATTGTTGTTTTTTGATGTAAGACTGTAACTGATATCTGAAGGAATATAAAAAAATTATGATGTCTAGTTTGGAAGACACCAACAATAATAATAATAACAACAACAATAAACTGGCACATGTGCTCAAAGACAATCACAGATATGGCAATAGCGACGTTGAAATCAATTCAACGAGATATAAACAATTTGGCAATTCAAAGTATCGGGACAATAAAGTTATTGGATGTGTTTCAGTATTTTTGAAAATCAACATATTTACTCAAAATATATCAATCACACTGAGATGATAAAGATTTGACAATTCACAGTATCAAATAAATATTGATATAATTTTCAAATTGACGAAAATCTGCAAATCTGGTGGTTTTTACAGCTGTCAGCAGATAACAATTAACTGTAAAGTTTTTATTAACTGTCCAAACTTATCTAGTATAATTTGTTTGTTCGATTTAAATTTCAAAGAATCCTCTCCAAAACAATTTGCACAAGTTTCAACAACAAATGTTATCACATTCCAAACATTTCAAAGTTATTAGCCAGAAATAATTACCCCACACTCACCTCAGGGTAGGTTATCGCCATATGCATTTTAAAAGTTAATCTACAATAGATAGTAGATCGTCGTTATGTCAACAATAGATGGTTTTATGATCGGTTGATTGTTAGTCATTAACCACAAATTTTTAAAAGTATCTTTCTCCGTTGACATGAGAATATTGTGTTTACAAAGATTACAGCTAGGTTTATGGCAGTAAAGTAAATTAATTAATTTTTATTAATAACAATAATTATTATTATCTTAACACCTGAACAAAATGTGTTGAAAATTGAAATAAAGTCTCAGCATATATTGGCATTTAGTGGATTGCATAGAACTTCTTAACCAGACTAAAGGGCAACAGAATTTACAGCTTTGCAAATTTGGATTTAATGGAGGAATCCTCCTGCAAACAATTTTAAATATAGCTCCATAAAATGATATATGTTCCTTCTAAACTCGTGCAGGATAGATCAAATACAGAGTGAGATGAAAAAACTGCAACCAACTTCAGACTGCTGTCATTTCTAAGCCACTCGTCCGACAGCTGTTAAAATTATTCCAGTGACAGCTCATTATATTGTTTACAAGCGTACAAAAGCATTTTGGTAAGAATCTTCTAGAATAAAAGTTATTCGTGATGGAATTCAAGCATGATAGTGCAATTTTTTATTTTTGGCTGGAAAACCACAAGTGGCTATCGTTAGGCGCACTCCAGCATTTAAATCTGAATAAATCTTCTGTCTCGTACCATCGCTCGTTACAGTGCTACTGGTAGCGTAGCTCGACGGCAAGGAAGTGGACGGAAGAAAACAGCAACATAAGCAGAAATGGTTCGAAAAGCAAAGAAGCGACTTGATCGAAACCCGGAAAATGGCTCACGAGCTGAACTTATCGCATAATTAACTTATCGCAATATTACATACATTGGAAATCCAAGAAGTGCAAGAACTTACACCGCAACGGAAAGAAAATAGACTCAAAAGAGCTAAAGAGTTGCTTCGCTTGGCCGAAAGTGGTGAACTGCCGAATTCGGTTTTCTCCGATGAGAAAACAGTCGTTGTTCAGCAGTTTGTAAACAAACAAAATGATCGTGTTTACTTGCCAAAGAAGTCAGCTGAAAATGTGCACGTTCGGTTGGCCACCAGAACTCAAGCGTCGGCCATGGCGATGGTTTGGGCCGCCATAACAGCCGATGGTCGCTCTTCGCTCGTATTAATCGACCGTGGCCTCAGAATAAATGCCGAATATTATCGCGAAAATATTCTGGAGGGCGTATTAAAGCCTTGGTCACGCAAACATTTTGGCCGCAGACCTTGGACATTCCAACAGGACTCAGCACGATCGCACTCAGCACGCGCCACTCAAGAATGGTCACCAAAATGAGATTCCTCGCTTCATTTCCAGCGCACAATGGCCAAAAAACTCTCCGGATACCAATCCGTTGGACTATTGTGTCTGGAGGATTTTGGAAAGCAAGGTTGGCACTACAAAAAATGCCAAAGTGTCGATCACCTCTGGCAAGCGCTTCGCCGGGAATAGGCCAAAATACCGCAGAGCAACATTCGGGCAGCGTGTAATGGTTTAATTGGGCGTTTGAAGGCCACAATTCGTGCCAAAGGTGACCAATTCGAACAAATCTAAACTTATTCTAAAATTTGATGCAATTTTCGACATACCGATATCAATTAAACTTAAAAAAATGTAAAAATTATGGCGTTTGACTTTGTTGCAGTTTTTTTATCTCACCCTGTATTTTAAGCCTAATTCATTTCAAATAATCGCCGAGAAAACTTCCCCGAAATCTCTAGTATTTGTCGCACACGTCTGATATTTTAATTTTTTTTGTTGAAAATTCTCCACCAAATCTTCATTTTTATAGTCAGAGCACATTAAACATTTTCTTGTTATCAGCGCCTTAAGACGTTCGTTCGTTCGTCCGTTCAGTTGTAACACAGAAAATAGCTGTCATAAAAAACAACTGAAACACTTCTTATCAACGCGGCATTTCCTTTGCTATAGAAAACTAAGGGCCAGCCAGATCCCATTATTCATACAAATTATAAAATAATCAAGCCTAAGTTACAGCCCTTCTTATATTTACTTTTGTTTTGTTGTTTTAGATTATTCCACCAAAAGAATGTCATCAAATGATGGATATAATCGAAATGAGGATCCAAATAATGGCATTTCCACATCGGATGATATTGGCAGCAGCAGAATGCCTTCATCCAGCACACGGCTACAACCACAGATAGTACCCAATGAGGCTACACACCTGAAGGGTCAATCCAAGCAGGCATATTTCAGTGATGAAAAAGTTCTCATACCCGAGACAGAAACGGCAAGTTTTGAAATTTGCTATTTTCAATTTTATTATGTGATGCTAATTAATTTCTTTCTGTTCTCATTTTTATAGATTGGTTTCAGTTGGCGCAAATTATGGGCGTTCACCGGTCCAGGGTTTCTAATGTCAATTGCTTATCTTGATCCGGGTAACATTGAATCTGATCTACAGAGTGGTGCTGCAGCAAAATACAAAATTCTATGGGTTCTATTGTGGGCGACCGTGTTGGGTTTGTTGATGCAACGCTTGGCTGCAAGGTAGGCACCGGAATCGCTGTTGTAGTAACAAACAATTTGTGAAAATTATCTTTCTTCCTCCCCACTCTCCGCCTAGATTGGGTGTTGTAACCGGTCTACATTTAGCCGAGATGTGCTATCGCCAATACAAAAAAGTGCCGCGTTTTATATTATGGATAATGATTGAAATCGCTATCGTTGGCTCCGATATGCAGGAGGTTATAGGCACAGCCATTGCTATTTATTTGCTATCTAATAAAGTGTAAGTGTATAACTTAATTTCTTTGCTATCGATCGATGCTCATCTATTCTCTCCCCCTTGTGTGCAGCATTCCTTTGTGGGGCGGTGTATTGATAACCATAGTGGACACATTTACATTTTTGTTCTTAGATAAATATGGTCTACGCAAACTTGAATTTCTATTTGGACTGCTTATCACCGTCATGGCTGTGACATTTGGTTATGAGGTATGTATTTATTGGGGCTTGTTCTTATCAAGTGAAAAAAATTGCATTTTATATTCGATGTGAATTTGCTTGTTTGTTTGTTTGTCTTGATACAGGTGGTGTTCCGTCTATTTGAGATGGTCTCGTTTCGTTATATTTATGACTTTTTCATAGATTTAGTGATGACTTGTGTATACAGTGAAAACTGTCTTGAATTGAATCTTTCAACATTGGATAGTTATTTTATTGATATTTATGGATTATTGGGATGAGGATCATTTGGGCATGGATATTTGATAATTTCTCTTTCGAGTTGAGCTACTAAAGACCTGAGTATATGGCATTGGAAATTGGAATCTAACGTAGTCCCGAGCTTCTAACAAATGTTCGAAGCCTTCCGCCGTTAGTTAAGCGGCTCATAAGTCATATTGTCTAGATGAATTCCTATTTTGGACAGTTTCATTTATGCGTAAATCATTAGATAAATGTATACTCGGATTACCGTGAAAATTTTTTAATTTCTAGCCGGTTCGTAGTCTCATACTGCAGTTTTTTAAGTCATCTGTGACTACATCAGAATGAATGCCACTGATAGGCTTCTTGATTTAGAGACTCTCAGTCTAGATCATGTATGTCCTTCCTGATACGCCTGGGGGTTTATACACCATATGATGGTTTAGATGACTCCAACGATAAAAAAATCCAAGCACGTTTGCCTCCTCATGTAGATGGTCCACTGGTGTCATGAGGAGGCACCCTGTTGCAGTTCGCATTTTGACAGGTCTGGATTATCTTTTATTTACTGCGTGGCACTTGTATTCGCAGACCACACTGGGGCCACATTGCTTACCACAGATGGACCTTTTGCGTTATAAGAGGTCAATAAGCTCTCCTTGTCTGCACCTCAAGTGCAAATGGCTAGCGACTCGAGGACTTTGTTCCCACTTTTCATTTTGTCGCAGATAGCTGTGACTTGCTCGGACGACTTGACCATGCTGTTGAATGTGATCCTTAGGATTTTGGAGGAGTTGGTGTTAGGAAATATATTTCCCTCGACCTGCACATTCAGCTCTTTTCTCATTTCCGCAGACCATGTGGGAAATAGTGTGGCCGTTTAGGGCGGATATTTTCATATTCCTACCTTACGCACATGCCATCAACACCGGGGCCCAACACCATGATAGGTTTTACTGTATTTGTATGCCAGTGCATAGATATGATATCAGCCGATGCTGTTATTGTTTTCAATTTCAGTAAAAATACTTGAATGTGTGAACTTTCTATTTTCCAACAGAAGCAACGAATTCCGCTTAGACAGAACCACTTGAGAATTGATTTAATGAATGTTGTAAATTATTTGATGAATTATAAATTATGATTAGATGCAAACATAGATAAGAATTGCGGTGAGAATGAAAACCCGACGTAAGACATACAGAGAACAATGAATACCGTATTGACCATATCATTGAAAAGATAAGAACTATATAATTATTTAGTAAAAACATATTAAAAAATAGTTTCTGCGTAGAAAAGGGTGTTTAGGCTTCTTAGGTTGGGTCCTGCAAAAGCAAATGAAAATATAAGGTCTTTGAGCATTCGATTGTTTTAGTTTAGCTCAAGACAATAGAATAAAATCGAATTTATTTTGTTTTTATCAAAACTAATTCCAAACTAATGACTGGCTTTTGTATGGCGATTCCGAAATCATCACAAAAGAAAAAAAATTATTAAATTAAAATTAAAAAAATGTTATGTTCCAGAACTGCATGCATGTAAATTTTCTACTACGTTAACAGATTTTTCTATAATGATGTCGAAGAAAATTGGCCTGTTTCAGAACTGCAAGAATGTAAAAGTTTCTACCACAATGACCCTGACGGTTTTCCCTTTATGATAACTGAGAAAATTACAAAACTAGAAGATTATTGTAGGTACTGGAATAGAGCAATTATTTTTAACCGGTTTACTTTAGTATCGTCATATAGAAACAGTCCCTAAATCAAGGAATATCGAGTCCAGAGCTCAATACTATAAGTAATACATGAATGCTTGTTTTAGTCGAAAGTCCCAAGTAAAGATATTTTTAATATATATTTTAAAGCAATTAATCCGAAATATTAATTTTGTTTAGCCTCAGATTACACGCACATTTTCATTAGCCGTCAATTAAATTATGCCGCACTTCTCAATAATGCAAATATTGCATTAGTCTGTCTCTTGTACTTTTTTCCCATAGGGGTTTTACCTTGCACTTGTTTGAAAATTTCCAGGAAAAGCTGTTGTTTACTCACTGCAGAATTTTTCATATTTGCCTTCTTGCTATGTTGACTCAGTGAAAGCAAAAAAAATATATATCACAGAATGCGACATATTTATTTAAATTTATATTCATCACACGTACGTACATGTGAAGCACTCTTATCTATTGTTTGTTTTTACAAACTATACAGCATTTTGCGGTACAGATAATATTTACTTTTAGTCAAACAAATGTAACATGTGAGTAATTTACTAACTACAGGGTGAGATAAAAAAACTGTCAAACACCATTATTTTTACATTTTGTTTTTGAATTTTTATTAAATGAAATCGAAAAATGTCGGAAATAGCATCAAATTTTAGAATAAGTTTAGATGGTCACCTTTGGCACGAATTATGGCCTTCAAAAGGCCAATGAAACCTTCACACGCTGCCGAATGCTGTCCTGCGGCATTTTGGCCCGTTCCCGGCAAAGCGCTGGCTTGAGGTGAACGACCCTTTGGTATTTTTTAGTGCCAAGCTTGCTTTCCAAAACAATACAGACACAATAGTCCAACGGATTGGTATCCGGAGATTTTGGTGGCCATTGTGCGCTGGAAATGAAGCGAGGAATCTCATTTTGTAACCATTCTTGGGTGGCGCGTGCTGAGTCTTGCTGGAATGTCCAAGGTCTGCGGCCAAAATGTTTGCGTGCCAAAGGCTTAAATACACCCTCCAGAACATTTTCGCTATAATATTCGGCATTTATTCTGATGCCACGGTCGATTAATACGAGCGGAGAACGACCATCGGCTGTTATGGCAACCCACACCATCACCATGGCCGGCGCTTGAGTTCTGGTGGCCAACCGAAGGTGCACTTTTTCAGCTAACCTCTTTGGCAAGTAAACACGATCATTTTGTTTGTTTACAAACTGCTGGACAACGAATGTTTTTTCATCGGAGAAAACCAAATTCGGCAGTTCACAACTTTCGGCCAAGCGAAACAACTCCATAGCTCTTTTGAGTCTATTTTCTTTCTGTTGAGGTGTAAGTTCTTTCGTCCAATACCTTGACGTCGGGCTACGGCGCCAGTATCACGGTAACGAGCGATGGTACGAGACACAAAAGATTTGTTCATATTTAAATGCTGGTGTGCTCTAGCGATAGCCACTTGTGGTTTTCCAGCCAAATATAAAGAAATCACACTATCACGCTTGAATTCCTTCACGAATAACTTTTTTTCTGCAAAATTCTCACCAAAATGCTTTTGTTCGCTGGTAAACAATATAATGAGCTGTCACTGGAATCATTTTAACAGCTGCCGGACGAGTGGCTTAGAAATTACAACAATCTGAAGCATCTAGATTAATCTAATCTAATTAATGTAATTTGTCTGACCAAGGCCCTCAATGGTTTGGGACAAACATTCCAAACAGCTTGTACATTTTTTACCAGAAGGAATGGACGGATATTGCCAATTTTCGACCTCGATCTAAGTTTCACAATAATATTACGATGCACCAAGTTTGGTTCAAATCGGATACTTCCTTCGAGAGTTATAGTGCGCACCTTTAAATTCAGGTCAAACGGTTTGTAGGGTCTAAAGTTGTCGTTAACGCCTAAATACAACCCCCATTTACTGCTTGTCTTTTGCCTATCATTACTGCAATGAACAAACCAAACAACCTCTAAAGAATATTAACGGTTACATTGGCGTCATGTTGACCTTCATTTACAGTTATTCTTCGTTTTCGTTTTTTTCCTTTCCACCATAAAAAAAACAATTCTAAATTCATCACATTAGTTATCTGCATATAATGTAAACATGTACACTACTATATCATCATGTATATGTGTCTCACAATCATCTTCATTTATTGCTCAAATATTTAGAGTGGGTGTGAATGTTTTGTTTACGGCGACACTGTTTCCTCTTCTCGTGGCAAAGAAGAGTACACTTGAGATAATTAGCCAGTAGTTTTGTTTGATTTATGACACTTGTGTCACATATTTTCTTTAACTGATTTTATAAATGTCACAAACCGGGATTTACCGTCAACGTGAATATTTACTTTTGGGCTTTATATGACTTGAAAATATAAAAATTGCCTGGAAAATTTAAAGTTTTAAATAAATAATTTATGACATTTCCTGAATTTAGGAATAAGATTTGATTTAAAAAAGACAGCTTAATATGGCCCTAATGAACTTGCTAGTGTTGTGAAGATGTTGATTATTTGGGGATCTAGAAACCTGTCTCTATTTCGCATTCATAGTGTCAATAGATTTATTTAAAAAATGGGACTTGCTTTTACTCCTTAATATATAATTTTTAGGATTTTTTTAATTGTTTAATATCGCTTCACTTCTTTTCCAGTACGTTGTATCGGCTCCCAATCAAGGTGAAGTCCTGGAGGGTATGTTTATACCATGGTGTACGGATTGCAACTCACAAGTTTTGCTGCAGGCAGTAGGCGTAGTGGGTGCTGTTATTATGCCACATAATCTTTACTTGCATTCCGCTTTGGTTAAGGTATGAACGACAAATATAAATGCCACGAAATTATGGTGGCTTTAATGCCATACCCAACGATTATTTTAAAAAAAATAAATATTCTAATTTTATATTTCATTGCTCTTTACAGTCTCGTGATGTTGATCGTCGCCAGCCAACCAAAGTGCGTGAAGCCAATTTTTATTTTTTCATTGAAGCCTCTGTGGCTCTATTCGTTTCCTTTATTATCAATTTGTTTGTTGTGGCCGTATTTGCCCATGGTATGTTTGGTAAAACCAACGCTGATGTGGTAAGTACAAACGACATGATTTGCAGGAATTGTTTAATTAAATGTCTCTGTTTTTTTCTATGCAATTTTCCAACAGTTACAAGTCTGCGAAAACCAACCCATGTATGAGGATGCCGTCCATTCATTTGGCAATAACACCGAAATCATTGATGCTGATTTGTATAAAGGTGGTCTGTTTTTGGGCTGTACATTTGGTGCTGCAGCCATGTACATATGGGGTGTTGGTATTTTGGCAGCCGGTCAAAGTTCCACAATGACTGGCACCTACGCTGGCCAGTTTTCAATGGAAGGTTTCCTCAATCTCCAATGGCCCAGATGGCGTCGTGTTCTATTCACCCGTCTCATTGCCATCATACCCACCTTCTTTTTGGCATTCTTCAGTCGCATGGAAGATCTAACTAATATGAATGATATTTTGAATGCTGTCATGTCATTGCAATTGCCATTTGCTGCCATACCAACCATTGCATTTACATCGTGTTCAGCAATTATGGGTGAATTTGTTAATGGAGTGTAAGTGTTGTTGGGGGAAACAGTTTGCGAAATTAAAATTTATAGTTAATGTTTTTTTTTTTAAATATTTGAAAACGTGAGGGGATTTTTTCAACAATTAACTAGAAAATTTAATTATTATCGATGCATTCATTAATAATATATTATTTTTTTCTTTACAGAGGCAATAAAATTATCTCGATTTTATTAACTGTAGTTGTTATAGCTGTTAATTTATATTTTGTTATAAATCAAGTTGAAGCTTTAAGTATTGAAGGAGGCGTTTTAGCTGTAGTGTGTAAGTATTAATGAAATAATTGAATACGTAGCCCTTGCTTGATATACTATATAATGTACCAAGTGATCTATATTTTATTTCGAAAACTTTTTTCAAAAAATTAATTTTGTTCTCTTTCATTACAGGTATATTTGCCATTTTATATTTATTATTTAATTTATACCTTGTGATACATATGATAGCGTGTATGGGCAATAAATGCTTTATGAATAATCGGGTAAGTTTATTTCGACAAAAATATCATTTATATTCCTTAACTTAATAACTGACGGAAGTACAAAAATAAGACTTTTCATAAAAGAAAACGTATTGTAAAGTCCCCTGATAATTCTCTCGAAAAAAATCCTTTTTTGTATGACATTTATGCCGGATTAATTCTTCAACGAAATTGTTTGATTAACTTAAATAATTTCTTCTTTTTAATTTTTTACTGTTTCTAAGCAAAATAAATGAAATGTTATAAGGGTTCTTTTTATCAGTACCCTCCTTCTTAACACATCAAGGGGGTTTCCTCCTACTCCTACATATTAGTCAGAAATCAGCTACTTTAAATCCATTTGACAAGTTCAGTCTCGAAATGTTGATTAAACTAACGTGCTAATTGATATCAATATGTGCACAACCTTCATATTTCTGGTATTACACATTTGCACATTTGCCGGCCAGCAATCACGTAGACAGATAACAAATTCTTTATAATTTAACTTTATCTTCTCGTTTCGGTTGTATATCACAACATTACAAAGTATTTAGATTGAAGATTTGAAATTTGTCATTTAAATTGACAGGTGTATATAAAAAAATTATTCGAAAAGAAAAACTTCAACGAATGAATACTTAAATTGTTATCAGAATTCAAGTGAGGAATATTTATTGCAGAAATCTATGATTTAATGCTTGGGCTGGCTACTTTGTTTTAAAGCTTTGCGATACGGAATATCTGGCGCTTATTTAACCTTTCAAGGTAAAATAATCAAAGAAAGGAAATGAAAAGACATTTTTTTTCCAGAGTCTAATACATAAAGTAGTCATGTATAGAAGTTAGGAACCGTCCATTGGGTAGGTAACTGCATTAATTGACAATCAAATAAATAAAAATAAAATTTCCGGCGAAGAAGTTTGCCCCACTCCTTTGCACTTGATAAACAGGATGAGATAAAAAAACTGCATCTAGGTCAAACGCCATAATTTTTACATCTTTTTAAATTTTATTGAATGAAAGCAATAAATGTCGGAAATAGCATCAAATTTTAGAATAAGTTTAGATTTGTTCGAATTGGTCACGTTTGCACGAATTATTGCCTTCAAACGGCCAATGAAACCGTCACACGCTGCCCGAATGTTGCTCTGCGGTATTTTGTCCTATTCTCGGCGTAGCGCTTGCTTGAGGTGATCGACATTTTGGTATTTTTTAGTGCCAACCTTGCTTTCCAAAATACTCCGGACACAATTATCCAACGGATTGGTATACGGAGATTTCGGTGACCATTGTGCGCGGGAAATGAAGCGAGGAACCTCATTTTGTTACCATTCTTCGCGATAAATTTCGGCATTTAATCGATTAATACGAGTGGACAGCAAACATCGGCTGTTATGGCGGCCCACACCATGGCCGGCGCTTGATTTCTGGTGGCCGAAGTTGCACATCTTCAGCTGACCTCTTTGGCAAGTATACACGATAATTTTGTTTGTTTACCTACCGGAGAAAACCAAATTCGACAGTTCACCACTTTCGGCCAAGCGAAGCAACTCTTTCGTTCTTTTGAGTCTATTTTCTTTCCGTTCTTGCACTTTTGGAATTTCAATGGCTTTACCCCGAGTTCATTTTTCAATATTTGCCGAATGGAATATTGCGATATGTTCAGCTCACGAGCCATTTTTTCGGCCACTGCAATGCGGGTTTCGATCAAGTCGCTTCTTTACTTTTCGAACCATTTCTGCTGATGTTGCTGTTTTCTTCTGTCCACTTCCTTGACGTCGGGCTACCAGAACCACGGTAACGAGCGATGGTACGAGACACAAAAGATTTATTCACATTTAAATGTTGGAGTGCTCTAACGATAGCCACTTGTGGTTTTCCAGCCAAATATAAAGAAATTACCCTTGAACTCCATCACGAATAACTTTTTTTGGAAAATTCTCACCAAAATACTTTTGTACGCTTGTAAACAATATAATGAGCTGTCACTGGAGTAATTTTAACAGCTTTCGCACAGTTGGCTTAGCTTTCGCGCGCGTGGCTTCATCTCACCCTGTACTTATTTATACGGCAATGTATTTCTTCAAACCTTTGAAAGGCCATAATATAAGCTCTCAATAAAGTCGAGGTCGGTGACGTTTTTATCGATATGCTTGTATTATATTACGGCGAACATCGACACCATGAAGGGCAACTGAGAAAGTGTTTTAATTTTACAGGGAATTTTTCTTTTGAACTTGACTGGCCTTAATTTATTCAGCTTTGTAACATCTTTTTAAAAAAGCGTTTATTAATTTATTTTTCCCTTAATTACAGTGGGTCCAAAAGTGGGTACTTCCAAGTCAGAATAGTTTCTCAATAAAGAATGCCAATTCCACATATGCAAGGTAAGTTTCAAATGCACCAAACACCAAAACAACTTCTATTAAAAAAAACTATGCACACAAAACAAATCTGGCTGAGCATGATGCACCCCTGTTGAATCTCTAACAATGCACAACTTTTTTATTTTTATTTAAATTCCTTGCACCATTGTTCAACTATCCTCAAGAATCTCAACTATCTTAAAATCAAATATTTACTCCCTTCAAACTATCTTCTTCTTCCGTTTTGGTATGTCTTTTCTATCAGATGCTTTCTCTGAATGTATCCTAATCAACCTCTTTTTAATATTTACTAATTTTAATTTAACTTTCGGGAAAATTTCCTACCCCGAATTTTCCTTCGTCCTTATTTCTTCTAACAGTGGTGTTTCAATAGAAATTGTAAATGCAAATATACCTAACAGTCTACCACCTCCCATTATCACCGTATCGGAAAAAATCCAATAATCCCAATAATAACAAAAACATAAAACTCCAACGCTTATTTAGCCCTAGAAAACAACACTAAATAACCACCCAAATGTAATAGACAATAAACCAAATACACATAATTAATAAAAAAAAATGTTGTAAATAACAAACAATTGTTAATTATTATATTTTATGTTATGTTTCATTTGTTTTTAATTTTGTTAATATTTAATAAAATATGCTAATATTTATATACAACATACATATGTAAGAATATAAAAAGATATACAAAAAAGTACTGTAGCATTGTAAATAACCTCTAGGTAATATCATATTGTGATAATTTATATATTTATAACCGCTTTGTATAAATGTGCTTTATGTATATGGAATTAAGTACAAAATATTATAATCGTAATTTTAATTAACCATCTGTATCATCATTTGAGTTGTGTTTTTTATTAATATCTTTTATTTTTGTAATGGGTTTCATATGTTTTGGAAAAAATAAATAAGTCTCAATTTCCTTAGTACAAAAATGGGTTACGGATATCAAAGTTTTAACACACAATTCACAAAAGTTGGGAAATGTTGATAAGACAGAGTCATACTTATTTTAGCCATTTGGTAAAATAATAATGATCTGCTAGAGTGACATTTGAATTCGACTGTTTTTGCGCTTTATTCTTCTACCTAAAATAATGAATAAGGATAATAAAATAAGAATTTACGGAGCGCATCTGTCCTTAAGGGTCCTTATATAAATGTATTATATTTTATTTAACAAAACTGGCGTCTACAAAGAGAATAACTAAAATTAAAAAGTTAGCAGTTCCAGAAGTTAGTTCTGAATAGTTCTGTGCGTTTAGAAAACCTCTGAATATAACCAATTAGTTCAGTATGAGCCTATTGAGAAATTTACTTTTTTGGTTGTTAGATTGTTCAGCTTTTTATGAAAGAATAGAAAATTTTTGAATGTATAAAAAGGTTGAAAAAAAGACTAAAAAGATTATTATCTAACGGCATCTTATAGATGCATTCTCCTGTATTCTTGTACCATAGTTGGTAGAGAAGGTTTTTTTTTTAAATTGCCTCAAGCTTTTTTACAATTTTCTTATTTTTAAAGTTTTTTGCACTTCCATTTTTTTCCAAATGGCTATTTGGCGGAATACCGTGGAGTTTTTTAGATTTTTAGTTTTTAGATTATTCAAGCTTTAGCAGAGACTTAAAGCTTTTTCCAATTTCAAAAAGTCTCCGTCGGAAAAATTAGAAAAGAGCAGCAGCTTTCCTGCTCTGGATGGCAACTTGTTGGAAAGGATATTTCCTTTTAGATTCCTTCACCTATTTGTGACCTAAAATGATATATAGAATATTAATTTCATTGGTCAACCAGCAAATCATGGCCTTTCTTTGCTTCTTTACAATCTTTTTGTCTCTGGTCCTTTTGGGGACTTTTGTGTGTCAGCAAGAGCTGCAGCCACCATAAGATGGTTTTGTTGACTACCACGGGTTAGGTACTGCAACGAAAGTATATGAACTTCAATGGGTGTTATGAATAGGCAAACCGTCGTAGTTCTCAGAACAGCATTCTGACAGGTCTGGATGTTCTACGATACTCAGGGCAGTGGGTTCTACGATACCGAATAGATAAGAAACAAGAACATCCCAGTTTCGGTCAGCGGCTGTATCGGTTGTGAACCTTTTTGAGAAATGTTTTTTTCTATCAGAGTAGCCTTGTAAATACTTTCTTAAAAATTGACGCTGGGTAATCTGCAAGCTCCTTAAGGAAAATTTTTATATTTTCTCTGTTCACAAATAGTTTCTACTATATAATTCTGACTTGGGGTTTAAGTTTTATTGACAAGAGCTACAATTTCAGTGTTATTCCACAGAATATTGGAAGCATTCTACTGACTTATTCCAAGGAGCACACCCTTCGTGAAAGGTCGAATAATAATCTGCTATGACTATGTAAAGAAGAGCCCCCTAAACATTTTTATGTATTTACATTTTTTCCATCTGAATTAGTAGTCTCATGTGAAAGGTAGCTGTGAAATGGTTGTCAATTTCCATTTCCATTGTCGAAGCTTAGTTGTTAGTTGTTATTTTTCCCGAGAAATATTACTCAAAGCCACCGTGGTTGGTCACAACAGAGACCTCCTTTGACATGACGAAAATTTCAATGGATCGTTTTCCATTCGATACTGCAGACCCATAGAGTCGGCCACATTTTTTTTTACACAAAATAAGAAGAACAGAATCCTGGATAATTGATTACATATGATAGGTTATGGTTAAAGGATGTGAAGTTACAATTGAAGTTCCTTCCTTTTCCTTCGTGAAAAGGAAGAGGAAGAAGTAATAAAACTTGAGAAAAATGAACCGAGATAGATCTTCGTAGAGAATTAGAAAGGATGGATAGATGTCGAAGGGATCCGTGTCTGAATGCCCACTGAGTTTATGAGTCGAATGTTCCTCCTTAGCTTGTAGTATTTGCTTTAACGGAGCAAGGCAGTGGCATAAAAGGTGTTAAATCGTTTTATTCTCTTCCTCATGCTCACACAGCTTGCAATATTCGACGTTAGAGTTAGAGTCTGTTGTTATTCGTAACATTGATTTATTCATGAGTAGTAGAGGCGAGGTTCCACGCTAGGAGATGTCTAGCCATATTTGTTTTGATACCTTGCACCGCGTTTCGTTGTCTTTTAGTCTCTCCATGCATCACTGTCTTTTGAATAATTAATATCGGAATCTGCCCCATTCGATAAACCCTATTCATTGTTTTTTTTTTTTTATTTTTTTAATTTGGAACATGGGTCTAGGATCGATCAGGAAGATTTATATAACTTTGGATCTTGACATAATATAAAAAATCTGTGGTTATGAAGTAATACTCTCTTGGGCATCCTCTTTGTATGTGACCATTCAGTAAAGTTTTTTTCAATTTGATATGCATGTTGCAAATAAGTCGGTGAAACACATGAAGTTTATGCATGAGAATTATTGAAAATCTGTCTTACTGGAAAAGTCAAGTGGGCACTGGAGAAACATATGAAGGCAGATACTTGTAAATAGACTTTATGTTTTAAATATTTTGATTTCTAAGTATTTCTTCCGTGTTTTTTATTTATGTACATTATTTGGCTGTGTTTTGAAATAATTGTGCAATGGTTTTGGTTGTTTTGTTTAAAATTTGTATTTTGTGTGTGTGTAATAATATTTATATAAAAAATTTGAATTAATTAAAAACATATTTCTCTGTTTTCCGTTTCATGTCATCTATAATTTTTTTAATTTAATTTCTGTACTGCTGTTTTTCTGTTCTGTATCTGTTGGTATTTTGGTGTGTGTGTGTGCTTTCCCAACCCAATTGATTGGTGTTATAATTTGGCCAAACAAACTACTGCTAAATTAAAATTCAAAATTGCACTAATCACAATGGAATTGAAAAAAAAAAACATTTTGGAAAATGGACAAACCAATCTCTCAACACCTGGTATTTTTTGGCAAACACAATTCTTGGAAATTAAATAATTACGAAATTGATAAACTCACAATGCCAAAATTTCCCCCACCCCACCAAAAAATATTTGTTTTGATTAACAACAAAATAAAAAAATATAAATTGTTATTTGTGTTTTTGTGGCATTTTGGTTGGAAACTTAATAACAACAAAAAGTATATCCTACAATTTGCAAAGTTTCCAAAAGTGCTAGTCGAACGTCCCGATATCATTCTACTTTAATCTAACCAACAATATTTTATGGTCAAAACAAAAACAAAAACTGTAGCCAGATGATGAAATAATAAAAACACAAGTGTCTCTAATCAATGTATGTTGTTGTTGGAAACAAATTAAACCCTTTTGAAAGCAAAAAAGAGAACTTATGTGGATTTAAATTGATTTTTCTATATTTTCAATATCGTCGTTATATCGAAAAAAAAAAAACATCATTTATTGCTAATAAATCATCTGGACTTGATGCTGCCACGTGCCATTGAAAAACAAATGGATCGTAATGACAATGATGATGGAAAACCCAACTAATTTCAAATTTTAATTGAAATCAATTATAACAACAAAAAAAAAAAAACACATATAATTGGGGCTTTTTCTAAAACGTGAAATGAAATCATTCGAAATGGAAATCTAACATTGAAACATAATTTTTTTGTCTGGGACTTAACAACGGAATCAATCATCATGGATGCTAAATTGCTAAATTTGTTAATAACAATAATGGCTTTATCGACCACTCATCATACATGGCAATAAAATACTCATAAACCTCATCAATGCAACATATACCAAACCCAACAAATTCCATGGATCCTGACATAAAATAATGCCTTTATCTGGTGTGTCTGTACAGTGAATTGTCGTTACATGACAGCGGCATACCGGTATTCTCGTTATCATATCGAAATTATTAAAAAAAATATTTTTTATTTATTATTCTTTTTTCTTCTTGTGATTATTTATTTAATAATTTATTACAAAAAAAAACACAAATTTATATTTTCTCTGTATAAAAAACGTTGTTTTACTCGCACCTACATACTTAGAGAATTTCCTTTTCTGTTTTACAAAA